CCTGTAATCCCAGCTACTCAGGAGGCTGAGACAGGAGAATTTTTGGAACCCGGGAGGTGAAGGTTGCAGCGAGCTGAGGTTGTGTCATGGCACTCCAGCCTGGGCAACAGAGCAAGACTCCATCTGAAAAAAAAAGAGAAAGAAATGGCGTTTCACCATGTTGGCCAGGCTGGTCTTGAACTCCTGGCCTCAAGTAATTCCCCCACCTCAGCCTCCCAAAGTGCCGGGAATACAGGCATGAGCCACTGTGCCAGGCCAAAAGCTTAAGAAAATTTTATGAAGAGAAACCTTAAAATTGAGCATTCTACTCTTAACCATCTTTTCCTGACAGTTCAAGGGAAGCTGATTATTATTCAAAGAGTTGAAGAAGGGAACACCTTAGCCCAGACTAGGATGGGTCCTTTGGGAGCACAGTGAGTTCTCTAGAGTCTAGTGGGCAGGATCCACAGAGGCAGAAGGAGCGTCAGTGGCTGTTTCCTGCTCACAGCCGCTTGCTTCCAAAGCAGGCAGCTAGCTCTACAGGTCACTGATAGGAGCCCTTAGGCTAAATGCCAACCCTGACAAGAAAGGGGAGGACCAGACTCTAAAGAGGCACCAGGTACTGTTTGAGGCCTTGTTGACTGGTTTAATTTAAAAAATCCTGCCAGGGACCAGGTGTGGAAATCCTGCCAGGGACCAGGTGTGGTGGTTCATACCTGTAATCCCAACACTTTGGGAGGTCAATGTGGAAGGATTGCTTGATGCTAGGAGTTTGAGACCAGCCTGAGTAACATAGTGAGACACACCCCAAGCCTTCCCCCCACTTCCCCTTACCTTCTCTACAAAAAGTTTTTTAAAATTAGCTGGGTGTGTTGGCATACACATGTAGTCCTAGCTACTCAGGAGGCTGGGGAGGGCGACTGCTTGAGGAGGTGAAGGCTGTAGTGAATCATGCTTGTGTCACTGCACTCCAGCCTGGGCAACAGAGTTGTCTCAAAAATAAATCAATAAAAAAGTCCCTCCAGGATGAAAACAGTCCCCAGCGCATTAAGGAGGGAATGGTGGACTTTTCCCCAGGAGTATTCTAGAGGGAAGAGTGTGGGTATGGAGCATCCAAAGGAGCCCCAACTAGGCTCTTTCTCTGCTTTGCATCCCTTTTTGCCATTGGCTTTCCACAAGACTGTCTTGCTAATCATGCACCTTGTGCAAATGGCTGGTGCTTCCTGGTTAATCTAGTCAAGTATGAAGAACAGCCCCTGCTGTCCTTCAAATACCAATAAGGCTTTTCAGCCAGCCTAGCGCCTCCGCTTTGCTGTCTGTTGGCTTTCTGTGACTATGCATGGTCAAGGCAGGTCAGAGATCTATCATTTTTGGCCAGAACAAATACATTAAGAGGTTTGAAACCAAGTATACTTGAAAACTAAGTTTCAGAGAGAGACAGCTAAATTAGACTGTGTTGATAACTATGCAAACATTTCCCATTTCCTTATTGGGGTCATAAAAGGCATCCTCAAACCAATATCAATCTGACAGTGTTGTCCAAAATAGTTTTAGTTGTGAATTTTTTTCAGCCAGTGTCAAAAGTGAGACTCTAAAATTACTATAAGTCTATGTCCAAAACTAAGTCCTTTATTTTTTTTCTGGGAATATTCTTAAGTAAATTCTGATTAGAATCACTACTAAAACACTTTTATCCTGATTCTAGATACTCAGGGCAGAATAAAAAGTAAAGTGAAAAATCCTCCAGCTCAGAAACTCAACAGCTATCAGATGGGTGAATATCTAGTAAGAAAATTGTTCTCTGCTGATTCTATGTCTCCAAGCTGTTCAGGTAGGAGAACACCTGCAAGCATGTTGCTCTTAGTAAAATACCACGTGGCCATTCCAATTAGTTTATTTATTATCTGTAGCTGCTTTCGCACTACAAGGACAGAGTTCAGTAGCTGTGACACAGACTATATGGCTCACAAATCCTAAAATATTTACTGTCTAGCCCTTTACAGAAAAACTTTGCCAACTTCCACATAGCTCATCCACTCACTTTACAGATGAGCAACCCAAGGCCTGTTTGAAAAGCAAAGTGACTTCGTAGCACTTTGCACAGGGTTCACTTCATTGCAGTTATTTTTCTCTAGGCTTGTCCCTGCTGGATACAATCTTTTTATTTCCCTTTAACTTAATAATAATGGTTTGTTGTATTGCACTGTCTTGCCCGGGGTAATGGGAATAGTCAGCAGTGGAACCTGGCTTAAAACCCAGATACTGTGATTCATAATCAATGGTAAGGATCGCCAAGTAGCTGTGTAACTTTGGCTGAGTTAATTGTCCTTTCTGAGCCTCAGTGTCCTCATCTGCAAGATGAAGGTAATCTATTCCTTGTATGGTTTTATATGAAATTATTAAGACGATGTATGTGTGGAATAGGCTCTCCGTAAGCGTGGATTCTCACCCCGACTCCTTTGTCTCGCTAAACTGGAGTTCTGGAACTTTTAGGGTTCCCTGAGGAAACTGAACTAAATACTTAAGGAACTTCTTCTCAGAACAAGACACTGGGCTTGGCCTTTTAGGAGATACAAAAATTATTTCCCCATTTAGTGGCAGTGATAAGACTGATATGACCAGACTTATGATCTGGTTAAAGGGAAATAAGGTCTCTTTGAAGGGGTAATGACATTTAAAAAATGCCAATGGGGCCAGGTGTGGTGGTTCATGCCTGTAACTTCAGCACTTTGGGAAGCTGAGGCGAGAGGATCACTTAAGACCAAGAGTTTGAGACCAGCCTGGGCAACATGATGAGGCCCTCCTACAAAATATTAAAAATTAGCTGGGCGTGGTAGCACATGCCTATAGTTTCAGCTACTAGGGAGGCTGAGGTGGAGATTGCTTGAGCCCAGGACTTTTAGGCTGCAGTGAGCTATGAGTGCACCAGTGCACTGCAGCCTGCGCAACAGAACAAGACCCTGTCTCTCTTTTTTTGTTTTGTTTTGTTTTGTTTTGAGACCCTGTCTCTGAAAAAAAAAAAACAAAACCATACTGGATCTATTTCAACAAATAAGAACAGAGCATCACCGTGCTTACTGGTTGGCAAGGAACTGCTACTAAAGCCCTTGATTCTCTTTTGAAATAGTGATTATGCTTCATTTGTCTGGCAAGCTTTGCTTTGATGACCTAGCTCAGATCAAAGGGAAAGTTCAGAGTTTGTAGAGTCTAAATAAAAGCAGAATTACTATGAGGGACTGGGAAGCAAGTCAGAGGCACTTTGGAAACTGCTGGCCTGTCATACACCAAAGTATTAGGCGCTTTCTTCAGAGGAGAATACCAGGACATCATGGCCACCCCTGAGAACTTAGCAAGACCTGCCCTAAGAACTGCATTAGGAGGGAGGTTCCTGTTTCCTTGTATTAAATTGTGTAATGCTCTAAGCCTCTCTTTCTTTTTTAAGCCTTTGGCTTCATGGCGGATAGTCTGGTGGGAAATAGCACTGAATGAGGAGTTAGGAGACTGGGTTCCCATTCCAGTTCTAATATCTGCTGGCTGTATGACCCTGGGCAGGATATTTCTCCTCTTTGGACTATCTGCAAATGACACAATAGGAGCTCAGTTGACCAGATCAGACAAATAACCATTGTGCTGGGTCCTGACAAAACTGAACTCACTTGGATGCAGGACATGATCATACAATGTTAGAGTTAGACAGGACCTTTCAGTGATTAGTTGGACTCTGCCATGTCTCCTAGAGAGGGCAAAGGACCTGTCTATGGTGACATAATTCATTAGAGGCAGAATCAGATTAGAACCCAGGTTTCCTGGCTCTCTATTCTATGCTTTGGCCAGAACAACATGTTATCTAAAAAATCTAAAGGAAATGCATTTAATCTCCCTTGCCTCATGTATCTCTCAGACACGTTGCTGAGTTGGTCTCCATCCTGCTCACTCATCAAAACTGCTCTGGATTAAGTAGCTAAGTCCATCAACTCTGCATGCAAAATTCTGCTCACACCAGCAGCTTCTCTGAGAGCTGAAACAGGCAGGCTGTGAGCCAGCCCTTACCCAAACTCATGCTTTAGGAGGAGGAGAGAAGTGGGGTCTGTGCTCCCTATGGTACCCTCACTTTAGTGTCTCAAGGAACAAAAAACTGGGAATGATCTGAGTGTGGTGGTATGTGCCTGTAGTCCCAGTTACTCCGAACCCAAAAAAACCCAAAAAATTTTGGAATGAATTTTCAGAGATCACTTCTGCAGTTAATAATCTTCCAGGTTATTGAATCATCCAATTAATTTAACAGGAAGGTCCGTCAAGCAGGCAGAGAAGTTCTTGGAAAGGAACTTATGGGTTGGGAAAAAGCCCCAGGATTGGTGCTCCTGGTATCTTGTCTCCAGTGAGCAGAGAGAGATGGCTCTGCCCACAGGGCTAGCTTGCCAGTGCATGAATAGAGCTCCAATCTTCTCTAATATTTTCAAAACAAAACAAAACAAAAATATAAAACCCTCCTTCTTCCCAGACCCCATCCAAGCCATCAGCCCCTCCAAGTCTGGAATGTGAACTAACAGGATTAAATGAAAATGAGGGTGCTAGCTAAACCCTGAACGCCATGCACATGGAAGAGATTATCATTTTTCCCTGCCTGGCATCTTCTTGGACATTCTCCAAAGCCCAACTCAAACGTCATTTCCAAACACTTGGTCACACCAACCTGAGCTCAAATCTTGGCTGCACTTCCTATTTGCTGTGTGACCTTGAACATGTGGTTTAACTTCTTTAGGCTTCGGTTTCTTCTCCTGCAAATGGGGATCATAATATAACCAGTTTATAGGGTGATTAGGGTTGAGCCAATGTCATGCTTATAAAGGCCCTAGCACAGTGCCTGGCAGAGAATAGGTACTTTATAAATGTTGAATAAATAGTAAGGGAACCAGAGCATTCATCTCTTGAGATCTGATCCAACATCTCTGCAGTCCCTGGCTTCGCCAAATCCTTTCATCTCAAAGGGGTTAGAGAAGCCTGAGCCAGTTTGTCCTTACCTTGCTGAGGTTTCCTAAAGCCATGACCTTGGCCGCTGACCTCCTGCTGAGCTGCTCCTTCACCCAGACTTCGATTTGCTTGTTCCACTTCATGGTGAACACATAGAAGGCATAGGCCAGCAGCAGCAGCAGGCTCTCCCACCAGGCAATGAGGCTGTCCAGGAAGAAGAGGATGAGCATTATCAGGTCAAGGATGTAGAAGGAGACATCACGGAATAAGGGCCACCAGGTGAGGTGGAGGATCTCTCGGGAGAAGAGGGAACAAGTGCCAATGACAAAGAGAATGTTGAACACAGCAGACCCCACAATGGTTCCGATGCCCACGTTGCTGTGGGAAATGAAGACACCGATGAGGGAAGTGAAGAGCTCGGGGGCGGAGCCTCCAGCAGCCATGAATGTGGCACCTGCCACATCCTCGGAGATCTGCAGCTTGTCTGTGATGACACCCAGGGCTGGAACGAAGTATTCGTCACAAACAATGGCCAAGGCTACAAACACGTACATCATGCCGAAAATGTGCAGGACCACCCAGCCCTGCCGCCGCTCCTCCACACTGAACAAATCTGGGGGGTACTCTCCCTTGGGGTGGAGGTCTGGCAAGCTAGAAGGTAGCACTGAGGGACTGGGACTGAGCTCCTCTGGGAGCAGGGCTGTTGAGAGGCTTGGGGAGAGAGTGGTGGGCATGGCTGGGGTTGGCTTCACAACCACACAGTGATGAACCTGCGTGGTCAGCTTTGCCCTGACCATGGGGGTTGCTGAGGTGCTGGGTGCTGTGGAAGGTTTCTTTGCCAACCTCCAGACTGTGGCTGGGGTTGTTTCGATGGCTGATACACTGGTCCCGGGTGAGGGATTCCTAACACTTCGGGCAGCAGTGGAGGCTTTGGTTTCTGCTGGACTGCTGCCTGTCATGGTGCTTATTGTCACCTGCCCCTCAGAGGTGGCTGGGGTATGTGTCAGGACTGTTCCCTGAGTCATCAGGTTGTTCTTTCCCACTAACCCCCAGGGATGGGTTGAGCTGTTATTTTCCATTCTTCTGGGGGGAGTCAGGTTGTTTTTTTCCACGATGTTCCTTGGAGAAGTCAAAACGTTTGTTTCTACCTCATATGTCAGATAAGGTGGGGTGCTATCTACCATTCCCTTTAGAGTGGTTAGGGCGGTTTCCTCCATTCTCTTAAGAGAGTTGGTTTCCAGTATTTTATAGGTTGCCATAATGTCACTGTCCTTCACTGTTGTCCTGGGGGTGATCATGCTTGTTTCCATTGTCATGAATGTGGATGGAGCATAAGTGCCTACTCTTCTACCACGTGGAGAAGGAGTGTACTTCACCTTTTCGCTGGCTTGAGTTGGGCTGTAGCTCTTCACTTCTCCCCTGGATGTCGGGGTATATTTTTTTACTATTTGTCTGCTTGAAGTTGGTGTGTAGTAAGTCAGTGTTCTACTGAATGTTGGGGTGTTTTCCTTCCTTCTTTCTGTACCTGCTGCTGTTGGGCTGTAGTTATTCTTGGTTGTTGTTGAGATCATCTTGGCTGTTCTTTTAGGTATATTGGGGATATTCCCCACTGTTATGCTCAGTGTGGCTTCATCACTGTCCACTGAGGCTTGAGGTACCAGCATCTCACCCCGCATTTCAGAGCTAGGTTTTGGAGGGTCGCTGCTCGCCATCATCATCTCTTCACTGGGGAGGTCCCGGCTGGCCAGTTTTACAGGCTGATGAGAAGAAACTGCTCCCCACAATGAGGAAAGGCCCCGAGGTCTCCTAAGGTGCTGATAAGTAGAACCGATGATCAACATTCCCAGTAGGAAGAGGAGGCGACTCCAATGAAGCCGCTTTGTCCGGAATAACCGCCTCTCTTGAGGCCCCATCCTGATCAATTTCCTCATGGTGGTCAGTTATATCTGGTTACAGAAGGCCTCTCATTCTGTCCATGAAAAGATGGAGGCTACTCTGGGATTCAGGTTGGTGATCAAAGAAGATTTCTCCATGAAGCCCAACCAGGGGGTATCCACAAACCTAGATGGGGAAAAAAACCAGATTATTTACCACTAAGAGGAGATCTGAGATCCATAACACCCTCATATGAAAAAAAGTGATAACAGAAGCCCCAGGGACACAAAACTGTCATGTATTGGGTCTCTGCTAAAGTAAACTACTCCTGCCCCCTGCTCCAGGGGAAAATGCCTACTCCTAAGAGAAAGAGTACCTAGGGGTCCTGTGTACTATGTAGGCATGACAGCAGCCCAGGTTCCTGAGCTGGGGCTTGGGTGCTCTGTGGAGTCTACCAAGTCCTCCCTGGGCCCTTAGCAAAAGGTCTGCCAGCACTCTTCAAGTCCAAGCCTAAGATGCTGGGAGCTCAGTTATCCACAGTTGGTGCTAGGCCACAGCTCTCACCTTATCAAAGGCAGGAAGGAGATAGGGAGATAAGGTTTTAAGCTATAGACAAAAAGAGGCAGCAGTGGAGGGCACTGCCAGGGACATTAAGGCTCCATGTAGTTTTTGGACTGACTCAAAACAATTCCGCCATCCAGAGTAGACAAAGCTTAAAATGTTATAGAGCTTCCCAAAGAATGTGGCATGGTGGGAGGATCCTGGGGAATGAAGTAGACTCCCTGTTCTGCTGCTTACCAGCTGTGTCATCCTGGACAGGCTGAGCCTTGGTGCCTCATCTGTGAAATGGGCATAACATATATATTAGTTATGCAAAGGTAATCTCTGGAAGGACATCTAGGGAAGGGAAACTTCCTTAGGATCTGAGGATCAAAGGTCATAAGGCGACTTATTTTCACTGCATATTCTGTTAGTTTGACCTTTGTATCATGCGCATGTTATAATTTTTTTTTTTTTCTGAGATGGAGTCTCACTCTGTAGCCCAGACTGGAGTGCAGTGGCATGATCTTGGCTCACTGCAACCTCTGCCTCCTGGGTCCCGGTTCAAGCAATTCTCCTGCCTCAGCCTCCAGAGTAGCTGGGATTACAGGCACGCCAGCTGGGATTACCACCATGTCCAGCAATTTTTTATATTTAGTAGAGATGGGGTTTCACCACGTTGGCCATGCTTGTCTGGAACTCCTGACCTCATAATCTACCCACCTCAGCCTCCCAAAGTGCTGGGATTACAGGCATGAGCCACTGCTCCCGGCCTATAATATTTTAAATTAAATTAGAATGTTAATAATAACAGTGTCACAGGAATGTTGAGACAGTAAAAACATATGAAAAGCATTGAATAGGTCAGGCATGGTGGCTCACTCCTGGAATCCAATCCCAGCACTTTGGGAGGCTGAGGTGGGCAGATCACTTGAGGTCAGGAGTTCAAGACCAGCCTAGTCAACATGGTGAAACCCCATCTCTACTAAAAATACAAAAGTTAGCCAGGTGTGTTGATGCATGCCTGTAATCCCAGCTACTCCGGAGGCTGAGACAGAATTGCTTGCACCTGGTAGGCGGAGGCTGCAGTGAATCAAGGTCGTGCCAGTGCACTCCAGCCTGGGTGACAGAGCAAGACTCTGTCTCAAAGAAAAAATAAAAAAGAAAAGCACTGAACAGAAAGGCTAGTTTTGTAGAAGAATGAAGGAGGGAAGAACATGAAAGGCCCTCAAAGAATCCTTTTATAAAGAAGGGCCTTAAGACCCAGCCCAAGTAAGTATTTATTAAATCTCTAATTAATGTTCACAAATTACTACAAAACAATAACTGGAAATGGTTGGTTTTGCATATGCTATATTAGCAGTGAGCTTAGTAACTCATGGAATCTATCTGGTACAACTCCTCATCTGAGATATGAACACACTGAGGTCCAGAGAGGAGATGTCACTTGCTTAATATCACACAGCTAGTGAGTAGTTGAGCAGATGTGCCTCCTAACACCCCTTTCTTTCTTGCATGCCACACTAACTGGATATGCAAATATAATTGTCTTAAAAAGCAGGAGAGGGACAAGCAAAAGGATAAGTAAGAATAAGTGAACTTCCTTCTTTGTCCCTGATTTCTATAATTTTCTTTCCACTATCTCCCTGCAGCCCCCTGATCCTTGCCATGAACTCAACACTTTGTAGCAAGTCCACTCGTATCCCCATCAGAAATTTCAGAGGGTATCTCTCTTTCTGATGTTCCTATGTTATGTAACAGAGCTGAGCTGGCACTCCAGCTGATCCCTCCTACCTAATTACATCATTTACCTTCAGACCTCGACATCTGGGTATCTTCTCAGCTCTGGAAATTTGTCAGAATCCAAGACTCAAAGAGTGGGTCTGAAGCTGGACAGCAGGGAACACCCCATTCTGTGCCCCCAGCTCTCCTACGGAATCCTAATTCAAGGCAGGGTCGGGTGTGAAGGGCAGCTCAGGGGAAGAATATCCGATCGTGGCTAATACTACCTCCTCTAAGAAGCTTATCAGGGCATTGCACAAGTTCTGGGTCCCAGTGCGTCTGACCAAGCCTGAGGGAGTGGGCCTTCCACCAGGGACACAGATGGGCTTGCTCTGGGCCCACAAAGTTAATGGAGGAATCTGGGAGGTTTCTTAAACCTGTTTCTAAGCTATGAGAATGAGAGGTGGTCTAGGGTTTCCGTGCTTAAATGTTGAAAAGCTTTGGAAAGATTCAGGCTCTCTGAGGAAACCAAGGGAAAGTGCCTGGGGCTTAAGAGATCAAAAGGCCTCAGTTAGCACTTGGCTCGACTTGCTACTGTGTGATTCTAATGTAATCTAAAAGTAAATGTGGGGATAATAACTGTCCTACCTACCTGTAAGGTGAATGTGAGAATCAAAATAAAAAACAAAGATTATAGAGAAAACACCAGGCAAACTACAAAGCATTTCATACATGAAATCTATTTTATTAGGCCTAAAGGAAATCCTTGGTCTAGAGGGCACTAATGGATCTCCCGAGAAGAGGCTGGGACATCCCATGATACCTGAGGAGTTGGCACCCTGAGCTCCCTATGCCTCCAGCCCATGACTTGAAGCTCATCAAAGTAGGAGTGGGGTAAGGTAGTGGGGATCTCATGATCCTAACCATTCATCTGGAAGCCATTTCAATTGTTCAGCTAACTCAGCCTGATATTTACTGACTGTCCCTTTCTCCTTTCCCTGTTTCCACCAAGAGTATCTGGGTGCATGATGCTTTCGGTTACTCTCATCTGAAAGAGCAGATAATCCCTCACAGCCTCACCTCTGCCCTGCTTCACATTGAGTGGCCTGGAACAGTAAGATCACCAGCTCCCTCTGCTGAAGCCCACAGGAGTGCCCACCCACTGTGGAAGAGCTGGCTTTATCTCTGGATATGCTGGGGTCACTCTGGATGTTGGAAGCCTGGGGCAGGGCCTGAGGTCTGCAAGTTATAAGTTCTTGCCTTTATGCTGCTGTGGGTAGAACCAAATTTAGTTCCTTCTCTTTTCATGCCGCTGTGTAGCACAGTCTCAATCTGTCCCAGAAGGATGAAAAAAGGAACATAATTCACGAAGTAGAATTATGAGTGGATCTTTTTTTCTGAAATAACTCCTCTATTTTTACAATGTGATTTACTCAATATAAAAAATTCAGGAGAGAAGGAAATCCTCAGAAAAGTGATTCCTTTCTCTCAGATGTTCATAAATGTTGCCAAGGAGTTCTTCTTGGTGTCTAACCTAAATCCTACCTGCTGGGGGTAAACCCAGTTTCTTCTGTCTTATTATCAAGGAATTCTGGCACATTTTGAAATTCAGCAGGCTGTAGGAAATTTGGCTGCTCAACCAAGAAGGGAAGCATCCTCTGTACTAGCCATGGGAGTGTGGACAAGTTCTTTAACTTCTCAGTGGCTATAAATCTCTTATCCAGTAAAGTGAGGATGATAATGACATCACCCACTTGATAGGGTTGTTGTGGGGATTAATTAATTTGTAAACATATTAACAGTGCTGGGTACTATTGTTGTTGTTCTGCTTTTAGATATTACAGTCAGACTGTGATAGAGGGGTCAGCAGGTCTCCATACATTTCACTGTTATAACCTCTACTGTGTATTTATTTGTGCAATCACCTGATTAATGTGTACAACTCTTACTAGTGGGTGAACTCCAAGAAGATAGGGAGCTTGCCTGTCTTATTTACCACTGAATCCCCAGAGCCCAGAACAGTGCCTGGCACACAATAAATGTATTTAATAAATAAACATATTTGTTGACAGGCTGAAAAAGTATAACCCAGTGAGGAAGATGCTCAGAGATGGGGCCTCTGAACTACACATGGATGGAGTGGGGAATGCCCACTCAAAAGGCTCATGACCTTTCGAGAGCAAATGGCTGGAGAATGGCCAGCACCACAGAGAAGGGGAAGCTGATCTGCTTTGCTCTACAGAACTGCCTCATTTTATACACTCTCCTGGACCAGGATGGAAGAACAGATGGGGCAGATCTGGCCCTGACCCTCACAATAAAATAAAGAAGTGAGGAAGGCAGATATTAGAGGTTTGGCAAGACAGCAAGAAGGCCTCTCCTTGCCCTCCAGAGCTCTAGGCCTTTCCTACCTTTTATTAAAACAGAAAGAGGGAACGAGAGTTTTCATCTGACTTGGAGGGTTTGTGGCTAAGGCTGGGCCTACGTCAGGAGTTGAAACTGACTGTACAGTTGTACAGTGAAAAGTATAAAAGATTTGAAAGGGTTGCAAATTTTCTTTCTTTTTTTTTTTTTAAATCTGGCAAACAGCAAGCATTGATGGGTTGCAAATTTTAATGCTGAACCCAGGAGGCAGAGGTTGCGGTGAGCCGAGATCGCGCCATTGCACTCGAGCATGGGTAACAAGAGCGAAACTCCGTCTCAAAAAAAAAAATTTAATGCCTTTAGGTCCTGGGTAGATAAAAATAAGTTACATCAATGGTTTTCTAAGTAATTGGGGAGTGCTGGGAGCCATGTCTGTACAGATAATAAATGACCCACCGATAGGCATTCCAGTGTCAAACAATTAAAAATATTAAGGAGCAAACAATTGAGTCTAAGGGCTGAATTTAACCTATAGGTACTGCTTTGCAACCTCTAATAAAATAACAAGCCCGATGAGGAGCGAGCCTGAGGTCTCTCTTTCTCAGGTTCCTCATTTATGAAACCAGGAAAGACAAGCTTCCTCATGGAACTACTGTTAGAGTAACAGCTAGAGAATCTGTGGAAAAGTACTTTGTTCTGTCCAACCTGTACAATGTCATGGCGACCTTTTGTTTATATTGTTTTATTTGTGCATATTATATTGTTTATAGGATTAAAAGTGGCTGTACAGTTGTAACTGGTGGAAAACAGCAAAATAAGTCCCCAAACATCCTATTACACATCTTTCCAAGCCAGTGGCTAGAACCATATCTGAGACAGGGAGATGTGGTCTCAGATATGGTTCTAGCCATATCTTGTTTGTTTGTTACACTGAGTACAGCTCAGAGACAGGATTTCATCCTTACAGTAAAGTGCCCTTCTGGAGGTGCCAGGGGCCTAGAGAAAAGGTCAGAGAGGTTACTTCAGAGGACTTCAGTGCGGTGAAGCAGGAAACCAAACAGCCCCAGCATGATTCACAACCCCCGCACTAAGTAAGAGAAACAACCCACTAAGTAAAACTCCCGTGTTAAATCTGACTTTACAAAGGAATGATGATTCAGGCACAGCAAGATACCTTTTTTTTTTTCTATAAGCTGAGAAAGAGTAAAAAATTTAAATAACAGCCAGTGCCAGGGAAGATCCCGGTGAGGATGTATAAATCGGGTAGAGCAGCCCAAGTGACCTTGTTAAACTGTAAATCAGATCATGTCCCTCCTTATGCCAGAATTTCCGGTGGCTTCCCACCTCAGTTAGAGAAAAAGCCCTATATTAGTCTACCAGGCCCTTTTTAGCTTTGCTTGTAGTAGCAAAAACTGAAATCTATAGGTTAATAGAAAACTTAGTACATAAATTATAATGGCACATCTTTACAATAGTCAATTATATACAATAGTTAAAAGGAATGGAGCTCATGCCCAAGATATATTAATAAATCAATACTAATAAAAGCAAGATGCAGAATAGTACATATAACATTGTTGCATTAGTAGACAGTATTATATATGTTATATAATATGTATATACATACACATATATACATACATATGTACCGGCAATTTTGCAAAGCATATGTAAGAATGGCTGTACTTCTGTCACTAACAGATATAGAACGAACAAAATCAAACAACAACTCTGATATTTCACTTCTCCAGCCCAATGGCTAGAATCATACTTGAGGCAGGGAGATATGTATGGTTGCTTCTAGGAAAGCAAATGCTTATTTTTCATTCTATCTACTATTTCAAAACTTTGAATTTTACCTGATGCAGTGGTGCACTCCTGTAATCCCAGCACGTTGGGAGGCTGACAAGGGAGGATTGCTTGAGACCAGGAGTTCAAGGCCATCCTGGGCAACATAGCGAGACCCTGTCTCTAGTAAAAATAAATAAGTAAATAAAAATAAGTTAAAATAAACTTTGAATTTTTCTTCACAGACACAAATTACTTTTTTTTTTTTAATATGAGACAGGGTCTTGCTCTGTCACCCAGGCTGGAGTGCAGTGGCGCAATCTTGGCTCACTGCAACCTCCGCCTCCCAGGTTCAAGTGATTCTCATGCCTCAGCCTCCTGAGCAGCTGGGACTACAGGTGCCCACCACGACACTCGGCTAATTTTTGTATTTTTAGTAGAGGCGGGGTTTCACCACATTGGTCAGGCTTGTCTCAAACTCCTAACCTCAAGTGATCCGCCCACCTCTGCCTCCCAAAGCACTGGGATTACAGGTGTGAGCCACTGTGCCTGGTCTCCTTGCCTCACAAATATATTTATAATTTTTTAAAAACTAGTTTTGGCTGGGCGCGGTGGCTCAAGCCTGTAATCCCAGCACTTTGGGAGGACGAGGTGGGTGGCTCATGAGGTCAAGAGATCGAGACCATCCTGGTCAACATGGTGAAACTCCGTCTCTACTACAAATACAAAAAATTAGCTGGGCATGGTGGCGTGTGCCTGTAATCCCAGCTGCTTGGGAGGCTAGGCAGGAGAATTGCCTGAACCCAGGAGGTGGAGGTTGCGGTGAGCCGAGATCGCGCCATTGCACTCCAGCCTGGGTAATAAGAACCGTCTCAAAAAAAAACAAAAAACAACAACAAAAAAAACTAGTTTTATTTGGCTTTCTCTTCTTTTTCATTTAAAGATGCCACCATGATCTTAAGAAGATAAGTGGTTAGCCTGGCAAGATAAGTCAGTGCCCAGATCATGAGGGGCCTGTAAAAATTTAGACTTTATACCATTTCATTTGTTTGTTTGTTTTTAGAGATAAGATCTTGCTCTGTTGCCCAGGTTGGAGTGCAGTGACACAATCATAACTCACTGCAGCCTTGAACTCTTGGGCTCAAATAATCCTCCTGCCTCAGCCTCTTGGGTAGCTACAATTACAGGTGCACACCACCACACCTGGCTAATTTTAATTTTTGTAGAGTCAAGGTCTTGCTGTGTTGCCCAGGCTGGTCTCAAACATCTGGGCTCAGGCGATTCTCTTGCCTCAGCCTCCTAAAGTGTTGGGAGCCACCATACTAGGCCTTAAACTAGCACTTTTCAGAGGGAAGAGTGTGGAATAAAGAAGTTCCTTCCTACTGTCTTAGAGAAAAGTAGTATCTACCAAGTTTTCTCTGCTTTCCCCTTTGACTTTATTTCCAATAACCTCTCTTACTACCCTCCTGTCTTTTTTCCACAAATACACATCCCCATGCCAGACCCTAGGGGATCCAGGGGTGGATAAAGTTCACCCTATTTTCAGAGCAGAGGCAAAGTTAATTGGAATTGGAAATGTGTAAAAGCTTTCCTTTGTTCAGTGAGTCTTTCATTATTTAAAATAGAGAGAAGCTTTGCTGTTTTCTCAAATGCTCTGGAAAAATACTGAAAGAGGATTGAGAGCAATTTTAAAAGGAGAGGGAACAGAGTTTTCCAAATGCATTGCAAGGGAAAAGAGACATGAGGGAGAAACCTAGGGATTGAAAGAGACTTTCTGAGCCACATCAACAGATTTCAACATCTGGATCTTACTTGGATCCTGATTCAAACAACCAAAGTGTAAAAAAGTAAAACTTATGATATTTATGACACAACTGAATATTTGAAAGCTGATTAGATATTTGATGATATTAGGGATTGTTAATTATGTTAAATTTGATAATGGTATTGTAATTATATATTTTTAAGTTCTCTTCAAGATACAGAGATATTCATGGATAAAATGTTATGCTATCTGGGATCTCCATCAAAAGAATGTGTTGGGGAGAAGTCGGTAGGCATATACATGAAAGGAGATAAGGATTGCATTGAGAGCAGAAACTGGGTGAAGGGCACATGGGGATTTATTATCCTAATCCCCATATCTTTGTCTATATTTGAAAATTTCCATAGTAAATTTTTTTTTCATAAAAGGGAAGGGTCATATTTATGATATTTTTTTGACTTCTGCTTTGGTGAAAATAGTGAAATAGGGAGGGGGAATGATGAGAGGAAGGGGCTGGAACTTGGAAGTATGATTTGAGAGTGAACAGTCTCCAGACTAGAGAGGTAGGAAGGGAAATGCAGGGCAAAGGACATCCTGGGAGTGTGAGAAGGGAGGGAAGAATGGAAAAGAGAAGCAGGCCCACTGCCTTTCCCACCTCTCTCGGCCTTTTCTTCACTTACTCATTCCTTACCTCTTATCTTTGTAGATGAAAAATCATCTTGGGGCCAGTTGATTTGGCACTTTGGGAGACCAAAGAGGGAGGATCCCTTGAACTCAGGAGTTTGAGACCAGTCTGGGAACACAGAACCCCATCTCTACCAAAAATTTAAAAATTAGCCAGGCATGGTGGCACATGCCTGTAGTCCCAGCTACTCAGGAGGCTGATGTTGGGGGGGGATTGCTTAAACTCAGGAAGGTGAGGCTGCAATAAGCCATGACCATGCCACTGCATTACAGCCTGGGGGACAGAGACCTTGTCACCCCTCCCCCCAAAAAAGTCACCAACTTATCAACAAAGATTCTCAAGCACCAAGTCATGAAATTCTATTTCCATTTCACTTGGCAAGTCCTAGGAATCTGCATTTTCAACACATGCTCTGGGAGATTTAGATATCTAGACTTCCCTTTGAGCCTCAGTACCTAGCTCCTGTGAGAGGCGTGGTTTTTCTGTCATTAACCTTCACTCCGTCAGACTGGGGACCCAACACTGCCTTTCAAAGCCTTTGTGACAGCAGTCCACTGTTTCAAGGCAGGAAAAAATAAATGGGATGAGAAGAATTATGCAAAGCCAACTGTTTATTGATTTCCACTTGAGTTGGGAAAAGAAATTCATCAGCCAGCTATGGCTTGAAAGACATCCCCTTTAAGACCTTCTGACCTTGTGATGATGTTCTCTGATGTTGTATTCACTAAACAACCTTCTGATTTATAATGGGATTCCACTACAAATTTTTTTAAGGAAGTTAAAAAAAAAAACAACACTAGTTGCCCTAAGTAACACAGTCCTCCTAGTAGTGCTGCCTTTTATCATCAATTTAATATATTGATTTTTTGCCTTCCAAGTCTCCTGAAAGCCTGTTATTCAGAAGAACTAGGTCACCAGATTTGATCATCCATCAGCGAACTAATAAACTTCAGGGTTGGGTAAAGTAATGAATCAAACTGCAACTGAGCCAGAATTGCCAGGAGGACAGTAACCCTATGGCTAAGTCATTGTCACATTAGGGGTAACTAGACACTTGCTTATCCACACACATTCTTGGCCACATCCCTCCAAATAGGGTAAGATTATAAATTATGACCAAGTTATCAGGCCGCAACCTTACTTACCTGGAGCCCAATGCCTGCTCAAGCATAACTAGGTCTTGTCATGGTGTGGTCAACCAGGTTGGGGAAAGAAGTTTTGAAGCAAATAGGGCAGTGTGCAGGGCCCTAATGCTGGCAGGGATATTCCCAGGGACAGGAAAAAACAACAAGCAATTGGACCCACACTCTCCCACAGAACAAGCTGTGAGAAGTCAGATTTGTCTGTTCAGTTCAAAGTATCCACCCTCCTCGTCCCATCCCCTAATCTCGCCCCATCACACCAGCTAAAAGAAAAAGGCAAAAATGCCTGCAGCCGTCTAGAGGTCTTTCTGTACTCACTTTGTAACCTGTGTGGTTTCACATTGTTCTTTGAACCACAACTACACAGGGGTCTGCTGGCATCCATCCAAGCCCATCTCTAGCTGGCATTCCCTGGCTCCCTACATGGTTAGAAAAATAGTCACCTCTTGCCCTCCTAAGGACCTCACTGAGGCACAGGCTACAATGGACACGGCAGGTGGCCAGAGTGGCAGGCAAGAACCCATGTTGCCTTACAGGGAAATCTGAGCTCACACGCCTTGTCCAGGGTGAAGAGAACCAAGGCCATCTACTTCCCTCAAAGAGGGGATGGGGGAAAAAAGTGACCATTTGGGATGAGGAGACCAAGAGGCCAAGTCTTGACGTAAATTGGGCTCAGGTCAGCTAAGAAAAACGTACAAAGCGCACCTCAGCCAGGAATTACAGTTTCGCGGTCTTTTTTCCCCAAGATTCTCGTGCCTCAGCCTCCACAGTAGCTGGGATTATAGGCGCCCGCCATCATGCCTGACTAAGTTTTGCATTTTAGTAGAGAGTGGGGTTTCACCATGTTGCCCAGGTTGGTCTCAAACTCCTGACCTGAAGTAATCCTCCCGCCTTGGCCTCCCAAAGTGCTGGAATTACAGGCATGAGTCACCGCGCCGGCCAGGAATTGTAGTTTAAAAAGAGTAGGAAGAGGATTCTGTCAACCCGTTCAGAGGGTAGGAGGCGGGGGGCTGAAGAGTGACAGGCAAATAGCAGGAAGGGTTGGGCTGCTGCACCGACGGGGCCAGGGGAGCGAGGGGACAAAAGTATGAAGAAGTCTTAGAGCCACCCGGCCAGGTGAGGCCCATGGGTCAGAAGGGCAGGAAGGGTTGGGAAGAGCCCGAGAATGCGGAGAGACAGGGCGGGGAACCCAGAACCAGACAGGACTCGGCGAAGTTGGGGATTTGTGGGAGGAGAGGGGTGGCCGCGGATTGGCCACCGCGAAGAGAGGCCGCGCCCCCTAGCGTCCCTCCGGTTCGAGCCAGAACCCTGCCTGTGCGACCCTGAAGCTCGCCAAGGACCGCCCCGCCCAGCGCAGAGCGCCAGCGCCGGCGCCGGGTTCCCTTCTGTCGCGCGGTCCTATAGTTCCGGCTGTGGCGCCCGGGCGGAAAGTTTATGCTGATGGACTGTGTCCGGCGATGGGCACGGGGTGAGTGGGGAGGCCGGGGGCCCGGGGCTGTCGTTCGTTGCCTGTTGGGGTTACAGGTGAAGGGGCTGGGGGGAAGAACAATCCAGGGCTAGCGCCTGGCCTTCCCGCCACCTTGGAGGCCGCTTCGAGCCGACTCTGAGGCACCAGTTCCCGGGCGCTGCTTCCGGCCTCCCCTCGCTCTGGGGCTCGGGGTCCCTAGCTCCACGTTAAACTGCACCATTTCGCCTTCTGCCAAGTCCCCCTCCGTCCCCTCTTTCCATGAAAGACTTCCAGATCTCATATTTTCTTGACTGATTTTTAAGGTAAAAATACATCTCCCAGTTGCGATTTCCAGTCTGGACTTTGAGCGATGAAGTTGTATCTGAGAACTGGCGAGGGACTCAGCGGGGCTGACAGGAAAGCCAAAGAGGAGGTGGGACCCTAAAAATCGGGTGGAATCCTGTTTTGAGAGCGAGAACTGCTGAGAATCGGTTCTTTATGAATGAGCTAATTATCACCTTCAGCGAAAAATGATAAATGTCTAGCTGATGGACACTTGGCGTTCAGGCCAAATAGACGAGGGCCTATTTCTCAGACTGATCTTGAGAAAGGAGAGCCCTAGTTGTTCGAACAGTACGCATGGGAAGGGGTTGGGGGTGGGAGACTTGCGAGGGTCAGAATCTACCCAAGTGAGGGATACATAGTGTTCTCACAAAGTCACTAGACTGTGGTGGGCAGGGATTTTTATTTGTACTTATTTATTTATTTTTTTGAGACAGAGTCTCGCACTGTCACCTAGGCTGGAGTATAGTGGCACAATGTCCGCTCACTGCAACCTCCGCCTCCCAGTTCAAGCAGTTCTCCTGTCTCAGCCTCCCAAGTAGCTGGAACTATAGGCGCATGCCGCCACGTCTGGCTAATTTTTGTATTTTTAGTAGAGACGGGGTTTCACCATATTCGTCAGGCTGGTCTCGAACTCTTGACCTCAGGTGATCTGCCCGCCTTGGCCTCCCAAAGTGCTGGGAGTATAGGCATGAGCCACCATGCCCAGCTTTTTTTTTTTCTAATCAAGCCTAGATTTCTTGAGTGAACCATCCTTCAGGAACTTTGAGTTCCCTCTTTTACTCCAACCTGAGTACTAAACTGATTTCCTATGACTTTGTAACTGTTACGGAGGTGCATTTGGGAGTAGACACAAAATGCATCAGTTGGGAGAAAGAGCCAGCTCCAGAGGTGTCTCCAGAGAAGGCAAGACTGCCAGCTGTCATCTCTGTCAGCAGCAGATTTCACGGATGAAAGTGCTTTTTCTTATGTGACCTATGTAAACTATTTCGTCCCATTCTCCTAAGAGGTGAGGGCAGTGCTCCTCATGATCCTCATTGTAAAAAGGCCTCCCTGCATGAATGTGACTACCACAGGAGCTGGGCAGAGGTGAGCGAGTCCCCCATATTGCTGCTTGAATGAGGAGAAGAGGAAATGTGTTTCTGGTGTCCAGAGTTAACATTTAAAATGTATTTTGCTAAATAATATATGGTATATCTGGTGATTTAGGGGTAGTTCATTAATTATTATCAAATTGTTGGGCACCTACTATGTGCCAGTTACTGTGGTAAGTTTTGAGGAGCCATCATGGGCAAAATCTGGCATGATTCCTGCCCTCAGTGAGCTTTTATGTCATGGTCTAATGTAGAATAGTTGAACCAATATTGTGCAGGACCTTACTTTTATTTTAAAATCAGGCCTGTACTGCTTGAGTGAACCATCCTTCTGGAACTTTCAGTTTCTTCTTTTACTCTATGCTTACAATCTGAGTTGTAAACATTATTTCCATGAATGAGTGTACTCTGAGTTCAAAACAGCCTACTTACAAATGGAATTTTAGAATATGACACATGTGCAGTTGGGCACTATCCTTAAACAAGCAGTCTGGCTACTGTTAAAATGTTTTCAGGTGAATCCCAAAAAAAGAATATGTGAACATTAAATTTCTAACCCATTTATATCCACCTAATCTTCTCTAATTGTATATATGCATTATGATTTTTATGAAGTTATAAGCACATACAGTTCTGGGGCCTGCTTTTCTCAGTTACTAATGCTTTCTATAAGTATTTCTGATGTCTATAGTACATATGTCACTTATTTATAGCTATATGATATTTCCTCATGTCAGTAGACCACAGTTTGCTTTATAATAGAGTAGCAGCAAGCTATATCCTCATGAGCAGATCTGTGTATCTGTACACTTTTTTCTTGATTTTTGAGCACCAAAATGTTTTCTTTATTCTAATTCTCAATCCATAACTTTGAATAACTTCATTTCTACATTTTGACTTTTCTATACAATTTCATGAGATAATTGCAGCTTTATATATATTCTTTTTTTTTTTTTTTTTTAGACAGAGTCTTGCTCTGTCACACAGGCTGGAGTGCAGTGGCACGATCTCGGCTCACTAAAACTTCCGCCTCCTGTGTTCAAGTGATATTTGTACCTCAGCCTCCCAAGTAGCTAGGACTACAGGTGCCTGCTACCACACCTGGCTAGTTTTTATATTTTTAGTTGAGATGGGGTTTCCCCATGTTGGCCAGGCTGGTCTTGATCTCAAGTGATCTGCCCACCTCGGCCTCCCAAAGTATTGGTATTACAGGTGTGAACCACTGTGCCTGGCCTTACATATTTTTTAATTTTGTTCTTTTCCTTCAAAGTTGAAGCACCATTGGCCGGTTTATATACAATGAGTACTACTGTGGCTAATAGTTTGTTCCTTTTGTTATGGTTAATGATTTCCAATTTGTCTAACTTGGTTTATGACTTCACTGGCCCTTTTATTTATTTATTTTTTTTGAGACAGAGTTTCGCTCTTGTTACCTAGGCTGGAATGCAGTGGTGTGATCTCGGCTCACCACAACCTCCGCCTTCTGGGTTCAGGCAATTCTCCTGCCTCAGCCTCCTGAGTAGCTGGGATTACAGGCATGCGCCACCATGCCCAGCTAATTTTTTGTATTTTTAGTAGAGACGGGGTTTCACCATGTTGACCAGGATGGTCTCGATCTCTTGATCTGGGGATCCACTCGCCTCAGCCTCCCAAAGTACTGGGATTACAGGCTTGAGCCACCACGGCCGGCTGGCCCTTTCATTTTTATATTTCGCATTCATTGTATTAAAACCAGAGCACCAAGCAACAAAATAATTAAACACATGCACTAATACTGCAAAAAGATTGTGACTGTGCCAAAAAACAATGGTTGATAGTCAAATAGCACCACCATATGACAACTAGAAATGTTCTTCAGAAAGTTAAGTGTTAGAGAGGTGACGCAGGAGTTTATTAAGTTGTGTAAAAGTCAAATGTGTAAAAGTCAAGGGCTACCTGAATATATCAGGTTTTTTTTTCCCAATAGATTTATTTAGATGATCCTTGATTTATGGTCACTTAATGGGTGATTCTAAGAGTGGTCCTTACAATGAACTAAGCTGCCCACTTCCCTCTCACTGAGTTCTCTACATATTTTTCCTCAACTCAACCTAAATGGTGTTTGCGTTTGCTAATTTCTGGGAAATTAGTTAAAGTTATGCTGAAAAATATCTTTTCTCTCCATGACAGGTAAGACCTTATTTATTTTCTACAGCATTTCTCTGTTGATAGCTGTCTGTTTGCATTCTGATTGGGAACACTGGGATCATTTTCATCATGCCGACAGTGGTGGTAATGGATGTATCCCTTTCCATGACCCGACCTGTGTCTGTTGAGGGGTCTGAGGAATACCAGCGTAAGCACCTAGCAGCCCATGGTTTGACGATGCTGTTTGAACACATGGCCACAAATTACAAGCTTGAATTTACAGCACTTGTGGTTTTTTCATCGCTTTGGGAGTTGATGGTCCCTTTCACGAGAGATTATAATACCCTACAGGTACAAAAAGTAGTAAATTATTATAAGTACAGGGCCTAAATTTATTGGGAGGAAAACAGTATCATAATGCACTGAACATTTAGAACCTTGGCATTACTTAATAATAAGTCTATGAATACTTAATATGTGTAGCTAAACAACAAGGGTTCACAAACAGTAGGTCTTATGCCTACTGTTTCTTTGGTACAGCTATGAGTTAGAACTGTGAGTTGTTCCCTTATTTTCTTCTCTTGGTTTTCTGTAATTCTCTTTGGAAAAGTGAGCACTCAGGATGTAGTGCTCCATTCCCTAAAATTTAGGGTTTTTAGGGCTGAACATTTAATTTTTTCCTACTCTTCCATAAAACCCGAGGAAATGAAAAAATAGCCCTATCTTGTTCTAAAGTAATTCAAAATGATATTTCCTTTCCAACAAGTAGCTTTGATACCAATAAATTATAATTTTTAAATCTCCGTTGATATTACCTTTCAAAGGTGTTTTCTGTGTTATATCAGAATTTACTTTCTGACAACATCTCTAAATCATATCTACAGCAGTGCCCAACACAGTGTCTTACCCATAGTAAGAAGTCAAGAAGTGTTTGTGGGCCAGGTGTGGTGGCTCACACTTGTAATTCCAGCACTTTGGGAGGCCAAGGCAAGGGGATCACTTGAGCCCAGGAGTTTGAGATCACCCTGAGCAACATGAGACCTCCGTCTCTATTTTTAATAAAAAGAAGGAAAAAAACAAAAAGAAGGATTTGTGGAATTAAACTGAACAGTTTAACCGTTGTTAGGCGGTTTAGAAATCCAGGATAAATACAGTTTGAATTTTTTAATATAAGTAATAATGATTTTGTTAAATAATTCCTTTTATTATCTCAGATTTTTTTAAGCAACTCAAAAGCTTATTTAAGAAAATTACACTAACTTAAAATTAAAAAATTTTTTTCTTTAGCCTGTAAAAGGATATTAAACTTTTGGTATATATGCTGACTTTCTTACAGATGAATAGGATTTCCGATGTTCTGCCATTCTGAAATGTAGAGAATTGCTATATAAGGAGTAAGACGTAATGTTTTAGACCAGGAGCCCTGAAGTCAGACTACATACTTAAAAATCCACGTTCTGCCACCTTTAGTCATGGGACCTGGGAAAATTATTTAATCTTTCTATACCTTAATTCATTTAAAGATAGGGTTAACAATCTGTACCTTATAGTTTTATTGCGATAGCTAAATGCATAAAAATGCCTAGGATGGTATTTAGAACATAGTTAATATTCAGTAGATTTTGTTACTATTTTTATGATGTGTTTAAAAGTTCCTTTTAATTTTTTACTTCAAGGTCCACTTATAAAGATGTAAACTTGGTGGACTATTCACTTTTACCTGATAAGAGGATAGAATAAATGGAATTCTTTCAACTATTATAGTTGATAAAGTCTGTTCTAGCATTTTTCTTTAAGAAGCTGTGCTTTGGTGCTCTCAGATGCATCAGTGTCCCCTGTGTAACATTTATATTTTGAACAGTTTATGTTGTTTTCTAATAACTAATTAAAACTAAAGAATAACTGGCAATTTTATCTTTTATTCAATAAGGAAGCACTAAGTAATATGGATGATTATGACAAAACCTGCTTGGAGTCTGCATTAGTTGGCGTTTGCAATATCGTTCAGCAAGAATGGGGTGGTGCAATTCCTTGCCAGGTAAAGATCAATTCTTTTTCATTGCCCTAAGTTAACAACATTAACCACTGAGGTGCTTCAGTTTTCTTCCGGCTCTGACACAGCATGCATAGTAATTTCTACAAACTACATTTTACACTATTGGTATCTTCTTAAGAGAAGGTACTAAATCAACACTAAGTTGTTTAGAAAGCAGCAAAATTATGCCTTAAGGAAAGCATCCTCCTAGTAAATTGACTTATTGCAAACTAGTACTGTTATATAAAACACAAAAGGCTCAGAGTGGAATTTTAGAACTATATTCCCTGGAAGGGGTCATTGTAATTTTGAGTGTTAAAATTGTAAACATCAGTATAATATGGCCTGTCTTCATTATCTCTGTGCAATTATTCAACAGACTTTTTTTGTTTTTGTTTTGTTTGTTGTTTTTGTTTTTTTTGTTGAGACAGTTTCTTACTTTGTTGCCCAGGCTAGAGTGCAGTAGAGCTGTTATGGCTCACTACAGCTTCAACTACCCAGGCTCGGGTGATTCTCCCACTTCAGCATCCTGAGTAGTAGAGAGTACAGGCAAATGCAGTCACACCTGGCTAATTTTTTACATTTTTTGTAGAGACAGGGTTTTGCCATGTTGCCCTGGCTGGTCTCAAACTCCTGGGCTCAGGTGATCCGCACCTCTTCTCCCAAAGTGCCGGGATTACAGGGGTGAGCCACTATGCCCAGCCTTATTCAGCAAACGTTTAACCATCTCATCTGAGTTGTCTAAAAAGTAAGGAGTATAAAACATAAAATTTGGCTGGGCGTGGTGACTCACGCTTGTAATCTCAGCACTTTGGGAGGCTGAGGCAGGAGGATTACAAAGTCAAGAGATCGAGACCATCCTGGCCAACATGGTGAAACCCTGTCTCTACTAAAAATACAAAAATTAGCTGGGCATGATGGTGCGCACCTGTAGTCCCTGATACTCTGGAGGCTGAGGCAGGAGAATCACTTGAACCTGGGAGGCAGAGGTTACAAGTGAGCTGTGATCGTGCCACTGTACTCCAGCCTGGCGACAGAGAGAGACTCTAGCAAAACAACAACAACAACAAAAATAACAAACCATAAAATCTTTTGCTCTTTACTTAGACTCCACAGTAGGCCACGTTAGCATCAAATCAGAGCAGAATAGTAGCAGAAAAAGACAACTGGAAATTTGCTCTATACAGATACTTCTGAGAAGTAGTAGCATATTTTGAAGGAAAAATACCGAAACATTGTTAAAAGAAAAATCATAATAGTCTACAACAGGAGTCTGCAAGTTTTTTTTATATTTTAGGCTTTGTAGGTGTCTGTGGCAACTACTCAACTCTGCTGTTACAGCACGAAAACAGCCATAGCTGTTTAGTAAATGAATGGGTAGGGCTGTGTTTAAATAAAACTTTACAAAGACAGAGTCAAATTTAGCCTGTGGGCCATGGTTTGCTGGACCCTGGTGTGTGACTTTTCCTTATGGAGTCAAACACAGGATTCCTCAGGTTAGTACCATCACTAGTATTTATTTTTTAATAATTTTTTTTAAAAAAAGATTGTAGCCAGGCATGGTGGCTCACACCTATAATCCTACCACTTTGTGAGGCCAAGGCAGGAGGATCACTTGAGCCCAGGAGTTCAAGAGCAGCCTGGACAACATAGTGAGGCCCTGTCTTAAAAAAAAAATAAGATTGTAGTTGTCTGGGAGTCAAGCAGGAGGGAATCTGGGATGTGATGAAACTGTTTTTTATCTTGTTTTGGGGGTGGTTACATGACTGAATACAGCTGTTAGAACTCATAGAACTGTATACTAAAAAGGGTGAATTTACTGCATGTAAATTGTATCTCAATAAACTCACCTTTAGAAAACAACTAAAACATTTTTTCTTATTGTGAAAACCACCCTGTTTTATAGAATGTAGTGGATACTTGCTAAAGTAAATGCCTTTTGATCATTTTCTTTTCAGAAATAAAAAAGCTTTTTATTATAGCATCTTCCCTTTTAGACATTATCTATTTTGGTAAATCTGTGCATATAGAATGTCTTATTTCCTAACAATATAGTGAATAAATGAAGTTTTGTCATCAGTATCTTCTGAACTGAAAGCTAACAGGTAGCACAGTTTCATTTGCTATTTCTTCTTTGGTTTTAGGGGAAAAATGCAAATTTTAAGAACCAGACCTTGTGCATCATGCAGATATTTGACTTTTATGATTTTCTTCTTTTGAATAAAGGAATAATCTGAATTTGAGATGTATGTAACCTGAGGGCAAGGGGCTAAGCCTGAATCCGTCTCTACTAAAAATATAAAAATTAGCTGGGCATGGTGGCGCATGCCTGTAATCCCAGCTACTTGGAAGGCTCAGGCAGGAGAATCACTTGAACCCAGGAGGCGGAGGTTGTGGTGAGCTGAGATCACGCCATTGCACTCCAGCCTGGGCAACAAGAGTGAAACTCCATCCCAAAAAAAAACACAAAAAAATGTTGTAGTAGAGGTGGTGGTTATTGGTTATTGGTTTTTATAATCAGTTACTATAAAACAAACTTGTTTAAATGTGGAATTTTTGGCCAGGCACTATGGCTCACCCCTGTAATCCCAGCACTTTGGGAGGCTGAGGTGGATGGATTACCTGAGGTCAGAAGTTAGAGATCAGCCTGGCCAACGTACTGAAAGCCCATCTGTACTAAACATACAAAAATTAGCCAGGCATGGTGGCCTGCACCTGTAATCCTAGCTACTCAGGAAACTGAGGTAGAAGAATCACTTTACCTGGGAAGTGGAGTTTGTAGTGAGCCGAGAACGCACCATTGCACTCCAGCCTAGGCAACAGAGCGAGACTCTGTCTCAAAAAAAAGTGGAATTTTTTATGCCAAGGTTTTGGTTTTTAATTATTATTTTATTTTTTTTTTGAAACAGTCTTGCTTTGTCGCCCAGGCTGGAGTGCAGTGGTGTGATCTTGGCACTGTAACCTATGCCTCCTGGGCTCTAGCTATTATCATGCCTCAGGCACCTGATTCGCTGGGACTACCATAGTGCGCCACCATGCCCTACAGAAGTGCACCACCACGCCTGGCTAATTTTTGTGTTTTCAGTAGACAGGGTTTTGCCATGTTTGCCAGGCTGGTCTTGAACTCCTGGTCTCAAGTGACCCACTGGCCTCAGCCTCCCAAAGTGCTGGGATTACAGCTGTCAGCCACCACACCCAACCTCAACCAAGGTTTTAGACAGCTGTACTGTGTCCTTATTATTCAGTAAAACCTGTTTCATGTTGACATTACATGAAATATTTCATTATCATATAGCATCTTTAAAAGCTGGTGGAGGTAAATTATTATATAGCAATTGTTTGTACCTAGAAAAGGAAATTGCCTTATAGTCAATTGTCTATCATGCCAAAAGATGACATCCTTCTAGGAAACCTCTGTTAAGCATTCTTGGGCTTTATCAGTAAGTGCCAATCTTGATATTTCACAAAGTGCGACCACTTAATACTGCCGTAAGGGCTGTGCATGGTGGCTCACACCTGTAACCCCAAAACTTTGGGAGTCCAGTGTGGGTGGATCACGAGGTCAGGAGTTTGAGACCAGCCTGGCCAATATGGTGAAACCCTGTTTCTACTAAAAATACAAAAATTAGCTGGACGTGGTGGCATGCACCTATAGTCCCAGCTGCTCAGGAGGCTGAGGCAGAATCACTTAAACCTGATTAAAGGTGGAAGTTGCAGTGAGCTGAGATCACGCCACTGAACTCTAGCCTGGGCGACAGAGTGAGACTCCATCTCAAAAAAAAAAAAAAAAAAAAAGAATATTGTCTCAATGGCCTTTCATTATCAAGTTACTGGACTAGACTAGGAAGAACAAAAATAATCCTCTCCTGGGATGCATGGGAAATCTCTCTACCACAGGATCATTCTGAAGCAATGAAGAAAAGGAACATTATTTTGCAATTACTATCCTTTGTTGGTTTATTTTATTGGTTTTTTCAAATTACAGGTAGATTAAGAATGCATTTTAGGCCGGGTGCGGTGATTCATGCTTGTAATCACAGCACTTTGGGAGGCCAAAGCGGGTGGATCACAAGGTCAGGAGTTCAAGACCAGCCTGACCAACATGGTGAAACCTCATCTCTACTAAAAATACAAAAATTAGCCAGGCATGTTGGCATGCACCTGTAATCCCAGCTACTTGGGAGGCTGAGGCAGGAGAATTGCTTGAACCCAGGAGGCAAAGGTTGCAGTGAGCCAGGAGCGCAGCATTGCACTCCATCCTGGGCAACAGAGTGGGATTCTGTCTGAAAAAAAAAAAGAATGCATTTTAAATATCTTGGATATTTCTGGTTTGACAGCCTTTATAAATACATATTTTAAGCAGGTGTCAACCAGGCATAGAGATTATCATCTCTGAAAATAAAGTGGCAAAGTTCAGACTGTTGTGCTGGTACTTCTTAGGGACACATGTGAAATGAATTCTCGTTTCATTTTTGACATTCGTATGTTAGGTACCAACTCCTTATCTAAGAGATGGGGTTCTAATTTTTTGTTTTTGTTTTTTTGAGATGGAGTCTCACTCTGTCACCCACGCTGGAGTACAGTGGCACTATTTTGGCTCACTGCAACTTCCATCTCCTGGGTTCAAGCAATTCTCCTGCCTCAGCCTCCCAAGTAGCTGGGATTACAGGCATGCGCCAACACATCCAGCTAATTTTTGTATTTATTTTTTTTTGTAGAGACAGAGTTTCACAATATTGGCTGGCTGGTCTCAAACTCCTGACCTTGGCCTCCTTGGCCTCCCAAAGTGCTGGGATTACAGGCATGAGCCTGGGGTTCTAGTTTTAATATAATTAAGTAAGAATTGGTTATGAATGTTTTTGTCCTTTTTTTAAGTGTTCAGAGGCAAGCTTTTAAAAAATATTGTATTAGATGAAATAGAGTAAAATGCATTGAGCTTAAGTACACAGTTCACTGAGTTTTGACAAATGTATATACCTATATAACCACTACTACAATTAAGATATAGTGTTCTTTACCCTGTAATGTAGATGGGGTTCTAGCACCCCACATTTTCTCATGCCCTTTTTTGGGATTTTTTTTGGGGGGGGGTTGGGGGTTTGTTTTGTTTTTTGAAACAGAGTCTTACTCTGTCACCCAGGCTGGAGTGCAGTGACACGCTCACTGTAGCCTTGACCTCCCAGGCTCAAGTGATCCTCCCACCTCAGCCCCCCAACTTTCTGGGAGCACAAGTGCATGCCGCCCCTCTTAGATAACTTTTTTTTTTTAAATTTTTTGTAGAGATGAGGTCTCCTTATATTGCCCGGGCTGGTCTCGAACTTCTGGACTCAAGCAATCCTCCTGCCTTGGCCTCCCAAAGCACTGGGATTACAGGCTTGAGCCACCGTACCCCACCCTGGCGCCCATTTCTAGCAGTGAAAACATTGCTAAATGGGACTGCCTTAAATATGTAATTTAATGTACAGCCTCCTCTCTCTCTTTTTACAAACAGGTTGTCCTGGTAACAGATGGCTGTCTTGGCATTGGTAGAGGGTCATTACGACATTCCCTAGCTACTCAAAATCAACGAAGTGAGAGCAACAGGTTTCCACTACCTTTTCCTTTCCCGTCTAAGTTATATATCATGTGCATGGCAAATTTGGAGGAGGTAATAACTTTTACCAAGTTATTTTTAGTTTGATTAGGCATATTTTACAACTTAGTTGATTTTTTAGTATATACCACTAGTACTATATTGTTTATATTAACACTATATTGTAATACTGTATATTGAACTCCATTGGTTTCATCTGAGGCTCGTCACTTTATTTGAAAAGACTCTGGGTCTAAAATGTTCTTTGAAATTTCAGAGTGTTGCCCCATCTGGGGAACATAGCTGGAGTTGTTATCCATCCTCCTGATGGGGGCATAAAGGGTCAAGGTTCTTTTTGGTGTTAGTCATTTCCCTTATTTAAGAATTCTTATGTCTATTCCACCAGAAATGTTTCTGGGAGTATGCTTTGACTTTGACAGAAGAGTAAAGTAACATTATTCTGACATGTTTTATTAAACACTTTACTTCTTGGTTTTCCCATTCATTTGGGAATGTGATTTAACCTTTCTTCCCCTCAGTTTTTCTCTCTGTAAAATGTAGATAATGATGGTTCTTGACAAAAGATGTTAGAAACACTTTAGAGGGAAGATGCTGTGTAAATACTAATTGTGGTCACCACTGAGAATCTTTGCAAAACTACTTCTGAATGGCATAGCTCTAAGTGTGTCATTTTGTGTAACATTTCTCTTTGGTAACCTTGAGTCAAAATTGTTGTAGTTATTTTCTTCTCACATTGGCTGTTAAAAAAATCATCTCAGTTATTTATTGTCTATGTTATGGTAATGGCTTTGACCTTGGTGTGGTGATGATAATCAGGCATTTTGTGCCAGTTTAAAGGGTCATCTCTTTTGCTTTATAGCTCCAGAGCACTGATTCCTTGGAATGCCTTGAACGTCTCATAGATTTAAACAATGGTGAAGGGCAGATTTTTACTATTGATGGCCCCCTGTGCTTGAAGAATGTACAGTCTATGTTTGGGTGAGTATATGCTTAGAGCTCTTTTGCCTTCTTTACAGTCCAGTATTATAATTTGACATCCGGAAAGACTATCTGTTTTACTTTTCCTAATTGTGTCATTTCATTTTCCCCAGGTTGTACATTTTTCAGATAAAATAATTGGTAGCAATGGTTTTTTGTTTTGTTTTGCTTTTTTGAAACAGAGTCTTGCTCCATTGCCAGGTGCCAGGCTGGAGTGCAGTGGCACGATCTCAGCTCACTGCAACCTCCGTCTCCTGGGTTCAAGCAATTCTCCTGCCTCAGCCTCCCGAGTAGCTGGGACTACAGGCGCGTGCCACCACACCCAGCTAATTTTTATATTTTTAGTAGAGACAGGGTTTCACCATGTTGGCCAGGACGGTCTCAATCTCTTGACCTTGTGATCTGCCCGCCTTGGCCTCCCAAAGTGCTGGGATTGCAGGGGTGAGCGACTGCGCCTGGCCAGTAATGATTTTTTAAAGTAAATCTATACTACCTGTAGATACTGACCTCCTTATAATGGCTCAGCAATTTCAAAGGTTAGTTAACTTGCTCTTGGGCTTTTCAGAATTGAAATTTCCTCACTCAAAATGTCAGATTTTGTTCTGTTTTACAGATGGTCAGATCTTAATTTTGGAACCAACTTGAAAAGAAAATAACCCTTGTGTCTTGAAATATGAACTTTATATGTATCGTATTACTCTTCCTGTAACTTAATATCATATTCTAGAAAACTGATAGATCTGGCATATACACCTTTTCATGCTGTTCTCAAGTGTGGCCACCTAACTGCTGATGTACAAGTCTTCCCCAGGCCAGAACCTTTTGTTGTAGATGAAGAAATTGATCCTATCCCTAAAGTCATTAATACAGGTAACTTTTTAAAAAACTTCTCAGTTTCTCTGATATCCTTACCTTTTCTGACTTGTGACTTTTACTCTCTTCTCTGTCTAGGAAGATTGAAAAGAAATATATCTTGTGATATAGGTTGAGTATTCCTTATCCAAAATGCTTGGGGCCGGAAGTGTTTCAGATTTCGGACTCTTTTCGGATTTTGGGATATTTGCATTTTACTTAGTGATTCCGCATCCCTAATTTGAAAATCCAAAGTGCTCCAGTGAGCATCTCCTTTGAGCTTCATGTCAGCTTCCTGCGTGTATAATAGTTGCGGATTGTGGAGCATTCTGGATTTCAGATTTTCAGATAGGGGATACCCAACCTGTACTAGGGTGCTGTTGTCATCAACACTTTGGACTGGAAGATTCATTATCTAAGGGGTGGCAGAATATTGGTCTTTTATGGTAAGGTCATCAGTTGATCTCCAATCCTAGTTAATTATAACCACAAATTATTAGAGTTGGAAATCATAGCCATATTCACTAGCATTGAAATATTTGAGATGATTCTTAATAGAGATACTGAGATTAATTAGTATCATAATTAAGTCGTATCAGAAGGGCTAGCTTCTATACTTTGCAGTATGACTCTTGCTATGTGACCCTGGGAAGTCTTCCTCCAGTTATTATTGGATAGGTAGGGAGAATCAACCAGACGGTCTGGGAGTTCTTGGATCTGATATAGTGTACTCTTCTAGCCCTGCTGCTTATATTATGACTGAGTAAAAGTGATGTATCACAGCTTTTGCCTGGTTCATGTTGCTAGTACTATGCTTAATTGAGATTGGCAAAGTGAAGAGTCAAAATTAGCAAGGAGCAGTGGAGAGGAGACTTGCCTCCTATTGGTAAGCGGGCTCCTTGAGTGTTAGGTGCATGTTAAACCTCTTAGGGATGGATATTATCAGTGTTTCAGTCACCGTTACAGCCTTGATGTCCAGCACAGTGCCTGATATTTAGTAGGTGCCCAATAGGTAGTCGTTCAGTCAATAAGTGATTAGAATTAAATGTGCAGCAAATGTACATTGTTTTGTGTATACAGATTTTTAAGGGATTTTGGAATAAGGGGCTGTGAACAGTCATTTTACTTTTTGTGCATTTAGCTTCTGGCTATCTGGAAGCAAGGCATCCATATCTTCTACTGTGACTAGAGAGCAGTATATTCAGCTGTACCAAAAGTCTTGCTGCCTTCATAACAGTTAGATTCCACTTCCTTTTCATCCTTTTTTGATAAGTAAATTTGAATAGGTCTTTTCTTTCCCATATAAACTCTTAGTGGAATATGTTTCTTGCAGCTAAACTACCTTAAAATATGTAGACGTTTTTCTATTCAAATGAAAAAATATCTAGTCGCTTATACTAATGCATTTACTATTCAGCTAAGGGAAGTAAGGACAGCAAATCTCCAGAAAAACACACTTCCTAATGTATTAGAAATATAAGGTACTCACCATGATTCTGATTTTTAAAAATTCTTTTGAAAATATGGGTATTAACCTAGAAGAAAGACTGAAAAGCACATCAGTAAAATATTAAGATATTTCCTTTGATTATGAATGAGTGACTTTTTCTTTTTTATAATTTTTATTGTTTTTTAAGTCTTTATATTATTTATATTAAAATTTTTATGTTCTTTTGGTTACAACATTTATTTTTATTTATTTTAGGTTTTCAACAAATACTTTTGGCCTTTAATACAGTTTCTGTAAAGCAGAGAAATCACTGTCATATTTAGACTGCTTACCCTAGTTTTGTAAAGAATACAGTTTTTTCTCAGAGAGATGTTTTTAATACAAGAGCTTTATTCTTCAAAGGCTGATTATAGTTGCTGTGGAAGTGTTTGACTCTGATGCCCCCGGTGACCTGAACATCCCTGACTATACAGAGGGATTTGACCTTTCAGATTTTTGCCTTGGCCTTATAAAAATCAAGTTTAGCTGATTTTGTCATATAACTTAAATTCATTAAATAAATGACAGTTATCATTATTTCCTGATCAACTTAAAATGTAAATTATTAGATGACTCCATAGACAAATCTAATAACTTTCCCTGTCATATTTGAAACCCCAACCTAAACAGTGCATTTGTGAAATTTAATACAGAAAATAATGTCCTTTTCCATAGAATGAATTAATTCTATGTTGATTCCTTCCTTTCAGATTTGGAAATAGTGGGATTTATTGATATAGCTGATATTTCAAGTCCCCCAGTTCTGTCCAGACATCTGGTCTTACCTATAGCACTTAACAAAGGTGAGTTCTCTTCCTATTCCAGTGATACATATGAAGCATCTTTTAACTAAAATTATTATTAAATCTTAGATAGTAGGATAGCTCATTTTGAAGAATTTGGGGGGAAAGGAATAATTGCAGAATTGGATTTTAGAAAATGGAATATTGGCTAATATATCAGAAAAGTAATTCTACTGCGGCTGGGCGCAGTGGCTCACGCCTGTAATCCCATCACTTTGGGAGGCTTGAGGTGGGCAGATCACTTGAGGTCAGAAGATCGAGACCATTCTGGCCAACATGGTGAAACCCCATCTCTACCAAAAATACAAAAGTTAGCTAGGTGTGGTGGCGCACATCTGTAGTCCCAGCTACTTAGGAGACTGAGGCAGGAGAATTGCTTGAACTCAAGAATCAGAGGTTGCAGTGAGCTGAGATCGCGCCACTGCACTCCAGCCTGGCTATAGAGCGAGACTCCATCTCAAAAGAAAAAAAAAGTAATTATACTGCTTTACATGGTAGAAAACATTTTGACACATATTTATTGTGTGTTGGTGTGTGAATTTACAGTGGAGGTCTTCTTTAGAGATGAAAATGCTTAGTCCCTCATCCAGGGCTCTGCCTTTCCTAGTAGAACATGCCGAGAAAGCCTGAGTAATTATCAGAAGGTTACTTGATAAATGTGCAAGTTAAATATAGCTTTATACAGGGAAGAAGTACATCTGTTCTTTGTTCTACTGGTGCCTAGCACATAGTGATACTCAGTAAATATTGTTGAATGAAAGAGTGAATCCAAGTCCTTGTGAATCCTCATTACTGAAGCATGTATCTCTAGGAAGAATTAAGTCAACTTCCCAAATACAGCATCTCTCTGGAGAATGCTAGTCTGTAGCTCTTTAAAATTCTCTTTTTCAAGGGAGGCACTGTGCTGTGGTGGGTGTAGAGCAGGAGCTCTGGTCCCTGACTGGCTACAGGTTCAAATCCCAGTTCTGTTACCCAGTTCAAATTACCTTTTTCTCTGTTTTAGGCTGACCATCCACTTTATATTTATCAGCTTCTCTAAGAATTGTATATAGTCAGTCAGGTTTCCACATACTAGGTAATGACCACATTCCATTTATCCCTGGTTATCTTAGTTGGAGTACTGGATATTCCATAACCACTCAATCACACGTTCACAGACAGAATCTTGATATATCCCCACAGATGGCTTTATAATCACTGTGTTGATAATTTATTATTCTCAGAGAACAGCCAGATTTCCCTTATTTTTAAGGCCCTGGGGAATTCTGCATGCAGTATAGTTGCCAAGAAAGAAATTGAGCAGGCCAGGCATGGTGGCTCACATCTGTAATCCCAGTACTTTGGGAAGCCAGGGCGGATGGATCACGAGGTCAGGAGTTCAAGACCAGCCTGGCGAAGATGGCAAAACCCTGTCTCTAATAAAAATACAAAGATTAGTTGGGCATGGTAGCAGGTGCCTATAATCCCAGCTATTCAGGAGTCTGAGGCAGAGAATTGCTTGAACCTGGGAGGCAGAGGTTGCAGTGAGCTGAGATTGTACCACTGCACTCCAGCCTGGGCAACAGAGCAAGATTCTGTCTCAAAAAAAGAAAAAAGGAAAGAAAAAAATTGAGCAAAATAAAGCATTTATTTAGGGGAATAGTAAAAAGAAAAATATGGGAAGGCAGAATAAGGCCATGTTGTAAGGGCTGTTGAAATGTCTAGCTAAACTGGGCAAATTCTTCCTATTGAATTAGAAAGTCTTTGAACAAAACAGAGCAGACAGATACTTTCAGAGGGAAGTAAACTGTAGGAAGATTCATCTGTCAACAGAGTGTGAGAGAAACTGGAGAATCCAGTCAAGAAGCTTATAGAGTAATCATTGTTTACCTTTGGGGACTAATGCATGTCCTGCCCTAAGGCTGTTGGTTATGAATGCCTTTGACATCTCTATATTTAATTCTGTTGAAATGGGTGCCTGAAATTTCCAGATAGCATCTAACTAAATAAACATCCTAGTGGAACTGTGGAAAATGGATTTTTGTGTGTGTAGCAGCTTTACTGAGATAAAATTCTCATACCATATACTTCACCCATTTAAAGTGGTTTTTAGTATATTTGTGGAGTTGTGCAACCATCACCACAATCAATTTGAGAAGTTTTTAATAACTCCAAAAAGAAACCCTGCATCCTTTAACTATCAACTCCCAGACCCCTCCCCCATTTCCCCTACCTCAAATAACTACTAATATCCTTTCTCTATATATAGATTTGCCTATTCTGGATGTTTTATATAAATGGAATTCATATAATGTGTGGAAACAGACTTTTATATAGACACTGGAAAACTGGAATGAGTTTTCTGGGACATCATATTGTTATAATATTCCCTTAGAACTCTGTACACTATCCCTTCAAGGCTAGAAACATCCAAGAGTATAAATTGGGGTTTGGGGTTTTCAGCTCATTTCAGTCTAACCTGTTTTCTCTTTTTTTTAACAGAAGGTGATGAGGTGGGTACTGGCATCACTGATGACAATGAAGATGAAAATTCAGCGAATCAGATTGCAGGCAAAATACCCAACTTCTGTGTCCTGCTCCATGGTAGCCTGAAAGTAGAAGGAATGGTAGCAATTGTTCAATTAGGGTAGGAAACTCTGTTTACATTTGGTTGAATGAAAGGGAAAATCGGCCAGGCGCAGTGGCTCAAGCCTGTAATCCCAGCACTTTGGGAGGCCGAGGCGGGTGGATCGCAAGGTCAAGAGATCAAGACCATCCTGGTCAACATGGTGAAACCCCGTCTGTACTAAAAAAAAATATATACAAAAAATTAGCTGGGCATGGTGGCGCGTGCCTGTAATCCCAGCTACTCAGGAGGCTGAGGCAGGGGAATTGCCTGAACCCGGGAGGCGGAGGTTGCTGTGAGCCGAGATCGTGCCATTGCACTCCAGCCTGGATAACAAGCGCGAAACTCTGTCTCAAAAAAAAAAAAAGAAAGGGAAAATCATTTTACAAAGTGAAGTATTTTGTAGACTTTTCTGAAAGAAATAGAGAGGTCCTTATCACCTTTTTCCTTTTCCTGACACATTCTTCCCACCTGCTATTACATTCTTTTTTTCTTTTGAGACAAGGTCTTGCTCTGTCCCCCAGGCTGGGGTACAGTGGCATGATCATGGCTCACTGCAGCTTCAACCTCCCAGGCTGAAGCAATCCTCCCATCTCAGGCTTCTAAGTAGCTGGCACCCAGGTGTGCACCACACGCCTGGCTAATTTTTTTTTTTTTTAATTTATAGAAGTGGGGTCTCACTATGTTGCCCAGGCTGGTCTTGAACTCCTGGGCTCAAGGAGCCTTCCACCTTGGCCTCCCAAAGTGCTGGGATTACGGGCGTTGAGCCACAGTGCCCAGCTGCTATTACCTTCCAAACTATTTTTTAAATCATCCCCTAGAATAAGTATGGAGTGAGCCTTTTATTATGTTGCCTTTATATCCTTTCTCAATTTTCCTCTTTTTAAATCCTATCTAGGATACCTGGGTTCTGGTTATAGCAATGCTACTAACTTGCTTTAGAGTCGTAGGCAGGATTCATAGGCTCCTCATCTATAAAATGAGGGGACAGAACTAAATGGAAAAAAAAAAAAGATGCTGATGACATTGAGTATTTTATTATGTGCCAGGCACTCCTCTAGGTACTTTACATATGTTAGCACATTTAATCCCTCATAACAACACTATATGGGAGGTACCAGCGTTATCCCCATTTTATAGATGAGGAGACAGGCTTAGAGAGGACATGGAACTTCCTGAAGGTCACACAGCTAGTAATGAAAGAGCCATGATTCTTACCCATGCATTCTGACTCCAGAGCCTACTCATAATTATTCTGCTGTGTTCCTTCCCTGTGAAGAAATCCTGTATAGCGTTTGCCTTTTCTGAAGTCGAAAATCTGCAAAATCATCTATTTCCCTTTCTGTAATACCTATTGTTAGAAAAGAAGGTCACAGATTATCTTCTGGCCACTACCTGGGGTTGGCTGGTATAGATCAAGAGGTTAAGATTAATCAGAGGAAGCATGGCTCCATTTCTGCCACAGTTAAAATTAGCTGGTCCGAAAAGGAATGCAGTTCTTATCAGGTATTAGTCTGCGATATTTCTTGGCACCCAAACTACTTGTACTGGTCTGAATATGAGAATCGTCTGGGACCCTTTGAGAAGCTGCGACAGGGTCTCTCTTACAGCACAGGATGATAGCCTTATGCCTGTGGTAGAAGGGCTTCTCTTAATGCTGCTGTGAGTGACACAGTGAGGGAGTTGACAGGACCTATAGGTCACAGTAATTACCCCTCCTCATCACCTCTCCAGCTACTTGCTGCTCTTTGTGATTTGTTTTTTCTCTTTCCAGGCTGCTTTTGATTTCCATATCCACATAATTTTGCCTGAATAATAATAAATGTCTCAGAAAAATGGAAATAATAGGGGACAGCGGTATGCATTTTCAGGTTTAGGATTTGGATTTGGTCAAAATAATGTGCCTGATTTCAAAACTGAAGCCTGTGTCTCTCAAGAGAAAAATACAGGCTAGACTTATTTAACTTAACAGTCTCAGACTTGATGTACTTCTGATCTTCCATCTTCTCTCCATCTAGTCCTGAATGGCATGGAATGCTCTACTCCCAAGCTGACAGCAAGAAGAAATCAAACCTCATGATGTCTCTCTTTGAGCCTGGCCCAGAACCTCTCCCATGGCTAGGGAAAATGGCACAGTTGGGTCCTATTTCAGGTATAATCCAGATCAGATTTTACTTACCTTGACTTTGTTTTCATTCTGCTGTTCTCAATGTCTCTGACTGATCTCCCTTACTGGCACCCCTTGGTCTCGGATGATGCTGGATAAGTAAACGGAAAACTTGAAGAGAGTTTGATGTTGGAACTCCTAAATTTTACAGCTCAGGAGAAATCAACATTTAGATTGCTTTAAGTAAATACAAACTCTTTTAATGGCTTAGACTGAAAAACTGATCTCCATAATATTTTTTCTTGGTGTACTATATTCAACTCAGGTAATTTTCTGTCATTCCTAGATAATGTAATCCTTCCTTTTTCTCGAAACTGTTTTTCTGTAGCTTTCCTGACATTGCTTCTAGTACCTATTTGACTTTATCTCTGGCAGACTTTTCTTTCTCCTTCATTTTCTTCCTCTTGCCTCATGGTTTCCAACATGTTGTTCTTTGCCTTCTTCTCTTTGGTTATTCTTCTTCCTTGGTTATTTCATCAGCTGCAATAGCTTCACACTTCCCAAATGTTTAACTCTAGTCTCACCTGATCTCTCCTTGGAATTTGCATATCATATTTTCAGTTCCTAGTTGGATCTCTCCACCTGGATATTCTGCCATAGTCTCAAGCTCAGCTGTTTGTTACAGACCTGTTGTCCCACACCCCTTTCTTCTCAAACTATTTCTTCTTCTGATTTTCCTCCTCCTTTTGATTAAGGCATTTGTGCCAGTAGCTGCTCAGGTTCTAACTGTAGAGTCATCTTTGACTCATTTGGGCCCATTTCAATTTCAGGAACATCTATCAAGCAACCTGTTCTGTGCCAGGCCTAAGGGATAAAGGAGTTAGCTAGAGTTGCTCAAAGTCTAGTGGGAGGTGGAATAATAAGCATAGACTGGCACAAATCAGAGTTAGGCTGGAGGAGGTGATGATGAGCTCTGCCTAGAGGACTCTGGAGAATCTTTACAGAGGAGAGATATCCTAGTTGTGTTTAGAAGAAAAGGAGGAACTTGCTGAGCTGATGAAGGAAGAAAGGGCATCCTGGGCAAACAGAACACCTACAGAAAGAAAAGTAACTGCAGCACAAAATGTGAGAGTGGGTGTGGGAGGAGCAGATTGGAGATTGGTAGTAGCTAGAGTGGAGCAGGCCTTGTCTGCAATGTGAAGAACCAGGAATTTATTTTGCAGATACTAGGAAGCCAAAGAGGAGTAATGTGATCAGATCCTTATGGCTACAGTGAGAACAAGGGCATACCAGTAAGGAAACTGTATAATAGGGGCTGGTGCCTAGGGGCAGCACCTAAAATATAGTTTCCTTACTCATATCCCCTTGTTTTCACTGCCCTTAAAATACTTAGGGGCAGTTGTACAATATGGCCATAATTCAACTGAGAAATAAAAAATTTGTATTTAGAAAGATATCTCTGTGGAGTGTGGATTTGAAAAGGCAAGGACCTGTGGCTAAAAGTTACTGTGTTAGTCCTGGAAATGTGAAGATGAGAGCCAGACCATAGCAATAGCTGGGGGTAGAAGATATTTAGGAGGTAAGATCAATAATGTTTGGATGTGAAAATAAAGGAGAGGGAAGTGTTAAGAATGATCCCAGGTTTCTGACCTGGGCTGCAGGGTGAAAGGTAGTACTATTAGTTGAAATAAATAATAGAGAAAAAAGAGTAAATTTGGGAAGAACACATTTTGTTTATGTTGAGTTTGTGCCTATGAGATATAGGTGGATGTGCCTAGAGACAATTCTGTAGGAGTCTGAAGTTTAGGAGAGAGGGCAGAGTTGGAGAAAAAGTTTTTGGTTGTAAGCCTATCACAAATAGTTAAAATGGTGAGAAAGAGGGAGATTGCTCAGGTCAGTGGTTCACAAATGTGAGTTTTTGTGTACAAAATAAACTTGGAATAAATACCGCATGTTTGCACCCATATATGGAAGCTAAAAAAGAATTGAGTTCATGGAAGTAGAGAGTAGAATATAGAATCATGGTCATTACAGGTTGGGAAGGGTAATGAGGAGAGGAGAACAGGGAGAGGTAACAGATACAAAGTTACAGCTATTAGGGAGGAATAAATTCAGTGCTCTGTAGCATTGTAGTGTGAATTGCTCACAAACAATAACTTAGTGTATATTTTCAAAAAGTTAGAAGGGAAGATTTTGAATATTCACAACACAAAGAAATAATAAATATTTAGCCAGGTATGGTGGCTCATGCCTGTAATCCCAGTACTTCGGGAGGCCAAGGCAGGTGGATCACTTGAGTCTAGGAGTTTGAGACAGCCTGGCCAACATGACGAAACCCTATCTCTACCAAAAATACAAAAATTAGCCAGGTATGGTGGTGTGTACCTACTCAGGGAGCTGAGGTGGAAGGATCGCTTGAGCCGAGGAAGCAGAAGCTGCAGTGAGCCCTGATTACCCCATTGCACTCTAACCGGCAACAGAGCAAGACCCGGTCTTAAAAAGAAAAAATCACATTTGTCAGCACTTTGGGAGGCCAAGGTGGGCAGATCACCTGAGGTCAGGAGTTCCAGACAGCCTGATCAACATGGAAAAACCCCGTCTCTACTAAAAATATAAAATTAGTCGGGTGTGGTGGCGCATGCCTGTAATCCCAGCTACTCAGGAAGCTGAGGCAAGGGAATCGCTTGAACCAGGGACGTGGCGACTGCAGTGAGCCGAAATCGTGCCATTGCACTCCAGCCTGGGCAACAAGAGCCAAACTCCATCTCAAAATAATGATAATAATAATTACATTATTCAAAGGTGATGGATATGCCAGTTACCTTGATTTTATCATTACACATTGTATACATATATGGAAATATCAATCTGTATCCCATAGATATGTATTAGTTACTATGTGTCCACTAAAAATAAAAGAAAAATAAATATGGAGAACTTGTTTAGACAGTCCATTTCCTATGCCCACCTACAGAGATTCTGATTCAGCAGGTCTGGATTCAGGCCCAGGAACTTGCAGCGTTTTTTAAAATTTTTGTTTTATTTTTTAAAAATTTTTTTTCTTTCTGACTTTCTTTTAACAGTAAAACAAACATTATTTGTGCAAGCTTTTTTTTTTTTGAGACAGAGTCTTGCTTTGTTGCCAGGCGCCAGGCTAGAGTGCATTGGTGTGATCTCAGCTCACTGCAACCTCACCTCCCCGGTTCAAGCAATTCTTCTGCCTCAGCCTCCCAAGTAGCTGGGACTACAGGCACGTGCCACCACGCCCAGCTAATTTTTGTATTTTCTAGTAGAGAGGGGGTTTCACCATGTTGGCCAGGATGGTTTCAATCTCTTGACCTCGTGATCTGCCTGCCTTGGCCTCCCAAAGTGCTGGGATTACAGGCGTGGAACTTGCAGTTTTAATATTACCCAGGTGATTAGAATCCAGGTGATCCATGACCACACTTTAAGAAACTCTAGCCTTAAGAAAGTACAGTCATGTACTGCATGATGACATTTCGGTCAACAGTGGACCACATTTATGACAGTGGTCCCATAAGATTATAACACATGATTTTTACTGTGCCTTTTCTATATTTAGATGCTTTAGATATACAAATACTTGCCATCATGTTACAATTGCCTTTAGTATTCACTACAGTAACATGCTTTATGGTTTGTAGCCTAGGAGCAATAGGCTATACCATCTAGCCTAGGTATTTAGAAGGCTAAACCTATTATATAGGTTTGTGTAATTATACTCTATTGCATACAACAAAATTGCCTAACAATGCATTTCTCAGAACATATCCTCGTCATTAGGCAACACATGTCTGTGTATATTAAGGAAAAAATATACAACCACCAACCCCTGGAAAGCATCAACTACTGGGGGAGCAGTGGAAAGGGTGCCGGTAAAGGAAAATGAGAAGGAAGAGGCAGATGAAAGAGGAAAAGTAGAAGACAGATCACGGAAGCCAAGAGTGAAGATTCCGGAAGAAGTAGTACCCTACCATGTCTCATACACACATGCGTGTCAGTTAATGCCTGAAGAATGCCCTTTGCCATTGAGACATAGAGATTTTGTCTGAATATAGGCCTTAGAAGCTAGACCGAGGCTTGGCATGTTTCTTCAGTAAAGGGCCTGGCAGTAAATATTTGTGAGTTAGCAAGCCATGTAGTCCCTCTGCTGTTGTAGCACAGAAGCAGCCATAGACAACATGCAAACAAATGAAAGTGACTATGTTCCAGTAAATTTTATCTATGGACACTGAAAATTGAATTTGATATAATATTCAGATGTCATGAGATATTATTTTGACATTTTTCCCAAATGTCAGAGAGATCCAAGATGGCTGATTACTAGCAGCTCGGGATTGTAGCTCCCAGTGAAAACGCAGAGAACGAGAGGACGCCACACTTTCAGACGAATTTTTGTTGCTCACGGACCAGGAGATTCCCAGCGGAGGAGCCCCACGGGTCACCAGCGCCACTCTTGTGGCCGCCGTGGCAGTTCTTGGTGCAGAGTAAATGGGACTGGCTCCCCTTTTGGTCGATGTTTGGAGCTCCAGGAAGGCAGAGTCACCTATTCAGCTGATTGAAAAAGGGACTCAAGAAGGAAGACAGACCGGAGATTCCCGGGCAGAAAAGCACCATGAATCTTAATGCCGCTATTTTAGCTGGCGCAGTGGGTTGCTCAGATTCTGGCCCTGGGAATCAACAAGTTGGACGTCTACTCAGAGACCTGATTTGAAAGTCAGTAATTACAAAGACGACAGGTGGATAAATTTACAATGATGGGAAGAAACCAGCGTAAAAAGGCTGAGAATACCCAAAATCAGAATGCCTCTCCCTCTACAGGGGATCACAGTGCCTCATCAACAAGGGAACAAGGCCTGATGGAGAATGAGTGCATTCCAATAACAGAATTAGGCTTCAGAAAGTGGATAATAAGAAACTTCTGTGAGTTAAAATAACATGTTCTAGCCCAATGTAAAGAAACTAAGAACCTTGAAAAAAGGTTTGACAAAATCCTAACAAGAATAGACAATCTAGAGAGAAAT